TCTGCCCCTCTGCTCCGCTCTGGTGAGACCCCACCTGCAGTTCTGCATCCAGCTCTGGGGTCCTCAGCACAGGAGACACATGGACCTGTTGGAGCAGGTCCAGGGGAGGCCACAAAAATGATCAGAGGGGTGGAACATCTCTCCTGTGAGGAAACACTGAGAGAGCTGGGGTTGTTCAGCCTGGAGAAGAGAAGGCTCTGGGGAGACCTTATAGCAGCCTTCCAGTACTTAAAGGGGGCTTATAAGAAAGATGAAGGGTTGCCCAGATTGGTGGTTGGTGCCCCATCTCTGGAAACATTCAAGGTCAGGTTGGACGGGGCTCTGAGCAACCTGATCTAGTTGAAGATGTCCCTGCTCATTGCAGAGGGCTTGGACTAGATGACCTTTAAAGGTCCCTTCCAACCCAAACCATTCTATGATTCTATGATCTCTACCAAACCAAGACAGATATAAAAAATAAGACACTGAGTCAAATTAAAATCCTTGCGTCATTGAATACAATCCAATTCCCACTGCTCTTCAGTGTTCAGTGGAACGCACTTCTTCATATTTTTGCAAACTTCTGCATTTTCACAAAGGAAATTAGTGATGAAAACAGCATAATTAATAGTACAGTAGTAATTATCTCTTAGGTTTACAAGGTAGCAAAGAAAATAAAAACCTAGGCCTGAAATAAATTCCTCACTCTACCAAAATGTATGACGAATTGTTTTTCCACTGTTTTTTCAGGAGTTTAAAATTTTACCCTTTAAGTTTACTTATGATTACAATTTTAGCCTTTCTAGTTGAGATTTGAATAGACCCTTGAATTTGGTGGAAATGTGGAAACCCAACCTTTTAGGAGCAATAATCTTGAACTAGAAAAATGAAATCTTCTCATGGCACTTGTTGTCACTGAAATATCAAGTCAAAGGAAAGGAGAGAGAGAGTAGATTTTCAGTCTCTCCACTGAGCACGTGGTGGATACAGAATAAAATTTATCAGAGTTATCACAGCATAGTCCCAGATGATAAATAATTATTGAGAATTTACTCTTTTGGAGTATCTTTAACCTGATTTTCTAAGGAAATGATTATGCTATGTGAGCATCCATGCCTGTCTTATCCTCAACTGTAGTAAGCCCAATAGCCAATTGCAACCAAATCTGAAAAAGTGAGGAGGAAAGAAAACTGTAAGTTCCTAAAACCTTTGTAAAATGATGTGGTTCATTAAAAACAGGGACATTCTGCAGTGTAACCTAAATTGTTATCATAGGTCAGAGAATCCACAGGAGTATAAAAGAAAAAGAAATAGAGGCACTTCATGCATGTCTCAATCTTGGGGAAATTCTCAGTCAGAGCTTGACCAGTTCAAATACCAAGGTCAGTCAATCTCATGATGCAAATGCACTGAGAACTAGATGTCTTTAATTCCAGTGTTGATAGAATTTTTTCTAAACAGTCTATTCCACAAAAAGTAATATAATTTTACTTTTATACAGATACAGAATGAAAATACATGCTAAGTCATTAAAAGATTCTGTGAAAACAGCTTTACTAATCATAACTACCTTCTTTTTCTCTAACATCTAAAGAATAAGCAAGGCTAGATGAGCAAAAAAGTACTGAGATCTGAACTCAGATGTTGAACTTGGCATGAATCCAACATGAATCATTAAGTGACCCACTGTCTTTCTTTAGTCTTCTTCAAGGTAACTATTGATATTGGCTGATATTCCATCAACTTCTGTTGAAATCCTCTCTTCAGCATATGTCTCCAAGCACAGTGCTGTACCAAAGAGTCGATCAACTAAAACTTTCCTCCAGCTTACAGAAGTTAGGCTAGGCTTTGTCATGGAGTCTGTTCAGTTATCTCTTACACTGACCACAGATTTACAAGTGCAAATCGGTCTCTTGATAGCGCTGGATATATTTTTCAAGCCCTGCAGTAATGGAAGACTAACATCACTGCACTAATGTGAGTCATTTTATGTAGAGTTTCCTTTTTATGATGTCTTTAATATTCAAGATAGAGCAAGGTAATGGCTTATTTTAAGGAATTTTGTCCAAGTGTGCATTTGGGCATTGTAGTTTATTACATATCACCAAGTCTTAGTCTACACCTGGATCTGCATTTTATACCTGTAAGTTAGCAGAGAAACTCACACATTCTCCGAGGTAGTTGAAGGAATTAAAACTGTTTGATTTTTCTTAACTGTCTAATTGTGTTACTCAAGTAGGTTCTTATGAGAGCTCTAAATGAGGATCACTTATTTAACAGTGATCCTGGTGGGCTCAGGAATTGGTGATGGTACCTGATAAGTGGCTGGCACAACTGAAGAGTAAAAGGATAAAAGCATGCTACTAAGGAGGGGGCTGGCAGAGGTGTACTTACAACTTCCTTAACTCCTGATCAGCACTGATCACAGCTTTAAGGTGGATCTGCCTCAAATTCATTGTCTTTATGATCTCTCACTAAAGCCTTTCAAGCTCAAAAGCCCAAGTCTTGTTAAACTGTAAACTAGGACACAACATTTTAAATAGAAACAACTGAACAGCATTATGTCAAAGAGCAAAATAAAAAAGCTTTCTACACAAGCCTGCTGTATCCTTGCAGTCATTTCTTGGTACGCCAGCTGGGTCTCAGGCAGCTCAGTTATGCTCAGCATCTCTGCACCGTTCATCCCCCCAGTCCCTTAGCAGGGCGTCCTTTTGGCATTTTTGAGACCCTGCTGATCTTCTCCCCAGCTCCACATGGGACGCATTCTGCCAACACGTACACAGTGGTCCTATGTTACCCCAAGGGATGGAGCCATCTCTTCATCCTGGCGCCAGGATCATACCTAAGCCAGAAACTCTCTTCAGGAATACATCCCACACAAATTCATGTCACCTATGGGTGAAGGTGACCTCCTACAATTAAATTAATGGTGTCCTTGCCAAGTCTATAGAGAGTAGGAGATGCTCTGAAGTAATCAATCCTTTACCACCTTTCCTTTCATTCTGCTATTAAAAAAAAAAAAAATAAAAAGGCAGGAAAGAGTGCAAAAGCCTCAATGCACCTTCAACCAATTTAACTTTTACTTTGTAAAATCCTTTAAATTATATTGACTATTTCAAAATGGGGATAAATGTCATGAAGAAAATATCTGATGGTTTAGGGGATGCATAATTCTGTAACTTGGATAACTGGACTAAAATGGAAAGTTTATTACCAAATGTTTGATATAGGCAAACTACGTTTTTATCTCTCAACAGCAGCAACCTTAATACATTTTGCAGCTTTGCCATTAAATACAGAGAGATGATTTTCCATCTAATTTCTGAAACCAGTTTTGTGGAAGAAAATGCATAATCAACGTGGAGAATGTCTGTCTTCTGAAAATGCTTTTAGTCTAACATAAATGATAGCTATTTAAAGGCAATCACTTGTGTTTTATATCTCACACAAAAACCAGCAGACACAGGATCCTGCCTTTGAGACAAAACACTGATACATGTGACAGAACATTTCAGGCAGTAATAATCAGAAGCCACAGATTCAGCACAATCCAGAAAACAACTGAAATAGCCTCCATTAAAATCCGTAGCTTTTTTTCCTATTGCTGTCCAGTCTTTAACTGCTATTATGTTGTGTTGTATTATATTATGAATAACTAATTATCTGCATCAGACAGGTACAGGAGATACGAATCACATTCGTTCTGCAGTAGGTACACTGATAACTTACACATCTGTTAAAGCGATTTTCAAAATATCACCCAGGAGGCATGTGTTCTGTTCAGTGACCTTTGGAAACTCTAGTCCAATGAATAACTAGTGATGTGCAAATAAGTTGAGAGACACTAGATAAAAGTGCCTATAACCTTATATGTTATCTGTTATGAAGATGGCTATGGTAAAAAGATATATTGTTCTTTCTTGCCTGAGAGCGCAAATCAATGAGAACATAAACTTGTATCCCTTTAAGTTGAATGGTTACAGAATTCATTATCCTGGACAATTAAAAATATAACATGCAGAAAAAGTGCAATGAATTGTATAATCTAAGTATCTAATTTAATGGTAGTTTGCTACCTTACAGGCATTTGCTCATATGGTATCAGTCACATCTTGGCAAATTCAGCCTTGCATTCAAACATTTTATGTAGAAAGACGACTAACTGTGTTTGCTTCAAGATGACAAAACTTCATAGTACCAGACTGTTGGTAGAATAGTGAAGGAATTCAGTAATGACAATCTTGCATCCATTAGAAATCTTTGTAAGCACTATGACACATGACAAAGCTTAGACTTTCTTTCTCACACAATATGTGGCCCATCTGGTCTTGATCTTGTGGCAAAGTCAGTCCACAGTCTAAAGAAAACAGTTATATAACCAAAACACAAGGAAAAACCACCAAATCCAGGAAGATATGATGCAGCACAAATTTTAAATCTCTCTCTTTTTTTGTGCTACTTTTAAACCACACTACCAACAAAGCCTTCACTGCCAGCCCTGATTATAGCTCACGTAATTCAGACTTGCATAAACATACCCTTTACACATAGATATGGTCTATAGCTTTTATATAGTCACTTGGACATTAAAAACACTTTTGCAGGTTTTGTTTTTTTTAATAGTATAAAGTTATGTCTTCTGTTATACACACATAGAAGGAAATCAAGGAGGTTAAAAGAGAAAAGACGCCACAATTCCAGTTGACAAGCTAAAAGGGAGGTACCAAGTCACACAGGCTCTTCCCAATAATCAAACGCCTAGTTGAGCAGTGACATAGTTATGGGGAAGAAAAGCATTCTGGATACCGGTCTGCAAGTAGCTACACCTGAAGCTTCTTAAAAACATGAAAGGCTTATCCTGCTGCATCACTCACATTTTCATAGTTTAGAATAAAGATTGGACATCTTTATTCAACATGTAAATAATTTTATTCTTAACCATTTTTAATCTTATAAGTAATTGCATTATTTTTATTACAGATTATATTTTTTCCTACAAGAGAAGAATAAATTATACTTACTCTCTCCAAAGTAATTTCTTCAAATTCATATTCAATTTCTGTTCCATTGACCTAAGGAAAAGAAAATAGGAAAATTCCTTAAATGCACATGGAATGTAGTTTGGTAGGCATACCATACAGATACCGCAGTATGACCAGTTTACTGAAACACATTTTTTTAACATATAGGTGAGGCTATCTAAATTACAGACTACTTAGCTCCCCTTTGATTTGAATAGCATGTAATCAAGCCTACAAACTTGAAAACAGTAAAAGTTCAGTATATAAAACACTGAAATGATGGATAACTAAGTCGCTTACATAATATGACTGATATTTGATACAGCGTGTTCATGGACTTTGTGCAAATGTTTCTATAGTTTCCAAGGTAATAGTTTCCTGTCAAAAATAGAAGACATGTTTCTAAAAATTATTCTCACAAATGGAAGAAAGATTAATTGATCATTGCCTTACGAGCTCCAATATACTTTGCAATACAAAACCAGACAGGATATTCATAGTACTTATGTAAAAATCACTCACAGATACATATACTGAAATACATCTTGTTTACTATATTAACCTAGGGCAAGAACATGACAGAGGACCTTTGTAATAGACAGCTGAATGGCAAAAAGGCACAGAATGTTAATGCAATTCTTGCACTGAGTTTCAGTGTCAAAATAAATTAAGCTACAAAATGTAGAGCACCAAAATGGATTGCACTGGACAAGAAATCTATCAGCTGAAGACATGACACCGATTTAAGCAGTATTCTGAAACCTTGTTCCAGTCTGACACGATTTTCTCTGTCCCTCTAGGCAACTCACTTAACAACCCTTTTCTAGTTTCCTCATTTCTTAAATGGGTAGAGTACCACATCTGAGAAAGCTACAAAAGTTCACTATATTGTAAGTAAACTGTAGAGTAATGAAAATACTTCTATTATTAAAATCTCAGAAGAATTTCAAAGTGCCCCTTAGCTACAGCTAGTCAGTAATTTTTTGATTTGGCCAGAAAATATTGATTAATCAAAAATAATAGATATTGCCCACAAATCATGCCATTTTTGGTTTTGTGTTGATAGGATATTTCCTGGAAAACAGTTCTGCTTTAGTGTTTTACTGAATTTATACTTAATGAAAAAAACCCCCACAACAACTTGTAAGAGCAAAACTGAAGTGAAGCATTAGGATTGACCTAATCTTAGGGGAACAAATTTGTTATTTCTCAGAACAAGAACATTTATTACTCCTCCCCACTCCCAGCTGCTAATTTTCTATATTAGCCTTCTAACTGCAATCAGAAAAAACTACACAAATCATTCTTTATCTAGTCAAGCATCTTTCAAATGTAATTAGGTAGTTCTCCTGTGAATATTATAACTAGGTACATGTATCTACCAAACAAAAGCTTCCTATAAAAGCCACCAACGATTTAATTTGTCTGCAATTCAAGATCTGATAAACCATGAAATCAGTAATAGAAATAGAATACCCAGAATCTGTGTTCAAAAGGAAACAGGGAGAGGGAGGAAAGTCCAGACAACCAACCCATGTTTAACAATGAAACAAAAACAGAGCATCAATGAATAAAATATTTAATACATACATAATATTTGTATTTTTTACATTATTACAATCTGGTAATCACATTACACTACACTAAAACCAGATACGAACAAAAATTTTACTATAGAATATTTTCCTGTTCTATGTTATCACTTTAATGCTTTCTGCATAGACTCTTTTATTAATATAGGCAACATACTAGATATGAACAGCTTTACAGCTATTCCATTTTTCATCCTTTCTTGTCTAATGATAATGAAATCAAAGCTATCTATATGTCTCTGTTTTCATGAACTTCTCTTTTATCTTAGGTTGGTGGATAGCTCTGATCTATGTCTTCAATTCCTCAGTCTTGCTCTATAAAGCTGTCTTTGCTTCACTGCTTATAATCACTTTTCCTTTGCATTAAAAACTCGTTAGTGCAGCAAAATGGGAAAAAGAGGGACATGAGAAGTGAGCAACCTCTGTATAAAGATGAAAGGAGAAAACACAAACTGAATACTCGATTTGAATTTGCACACAAACAATAATCTTGATTATGATCATCTGAGGGTTTTCTTTTATCATCCACAGTCACGATTCCAAAAAGGTCTTCAGTTCAAATCGCCATTAATCGCAGCAGAAATCCATTATCAGGTTCCATAGCAGCAGGGATGTTATGAATTAAAAAGCTGATCTTGATCCAACTCCTTTTGTTATTTAAGCATATATATCTACATATGCAGTTTACTGCCCTGTTTTTCTTGCTGGTTGCTCAGAAGACCAATGCAGTTATTTCGTAAAGGATCTAATAAGATATTGCACCTACCTGAGGCAGGTGGAATGATGATGTATGCACTCCATTCATTGCTAGCACCATTTTATTTCATATTTAGACTCTCTGGCTGCACCTACGCTGCTAAATTAGAGTCAATTTTCAGCCAAGTCTCAGTGCTTAAGGCTGTTTCTGTCTGGAGCCTGCTGGAAACAAATAGCCAAGGAGTGAGCCAACAGTTAAGCAGGAGGAGAATCATGGCTCCAGCGCTGGAACTGACTTGTCGGTTTTCTCATTTAGCAGCATATGGACATACCCTCTGTTTTTGTCCATTTTAACTTGACAGTCTCTGGCCTGACAAAGCACCTAAACAAGCTGTCTGAACCTGCAACTTCCATTTCTTGCAAGTAGTGGGAACCTGTTCCTATGTCTGTCTTTACATGAGTTTTCTGAATTCTGCTTTTATAGCAGATTGCAGCAAGAACACACAGCAAAATTGACTATGGCCTGTATGATTTTAGATAACTATGAAAAATTCCAAACATTTTCATATGATTTTCTCTTCTCCTCCACAGTCAAAGAAATCATCAGCATTTCCAAGTCAGTTTGGGAATATTCTTTCCCATCTTTCAGGATTGCAAGGCTGATACAACAGAGAACTTTAATCTTAGCTAAATTTTGATATTTATAATGCTGAAATGTGAGGTAGTCATCTAGCTCTCTTTATACTCAGTGAGAAGAAACAGGCACTTCTAGGTCTTAATTCATTTCATCCTACACTAGAAATCTCAGGTAGGTTAGATGAATTGTGCCCCTGAGGTTTCCTTTCACTACATACAAACAGAGTCTGAAAGCAATGTGTAAAGTTTGGTGAGCACTTGCCTTAAATCTGTTTTCTCTGCATTACTCCTAACTATAGACTGGTAACAAAGTTCTGCTTAAGGGATGCTGTATGTCTTTCATAATTATATGCCAGTGAAAGGCCAGATCTCTGGTTCAGCAGCTTTTCCGATTGCTTTTTTGGGCTTGTCTGCACCTGTAACTGGCAGTACACGCACGGCATCTTATCCAGCACCTGCTCCACAAGCCCAACCGGTTAGGATGTCCACAAGGAACAATTCAGTCTCTCCTCTTCTCCAAAAGCTCAAAGCCAAGATACATTGCTGTTGGCTTCCCCCTCTGATTCGGGACACTGATGTCCCATCTTCGGAGAGAGTGCTCAACAACTCCTGTGACAGTAACAGGCCCCTGTTCAGGAACAGCATCACCAACATACACTTCTGATACCAGAAGGCTTCTCAGTCTCCTGACCTTACATATGTTCATGATCTGGAGTGTGATGAACTTACAGCCCCTGTAGAAAAAGCTACCATAATTCAATAAAGTCCCAATGTTTAAAGCACCTCCTTGCTACCTCCTTGTGAGGTAGCAGTTGCTTTTCATTTACAGCTGTACGTGTTATATTGGAGGACTTGCCCAAACTTTTGACAAGAAAATGTCTTTAAGGAAGAGATGTAATGTATGGTAACTATCTAGATTGCAGCATTCAAGAGAGATTTCCTGGTAAAGCTCTAATCACTACTAGAGTTCACTTATCTTCAGATGACTCTTTCAGGAAAATGAGAAAAGGAACAGGTAAAAACAGTCTTTTATATACTATTTTGTGAAAAACCTGAAATAAAGCCCAGCACATAGAACATCAAAGTAAGGACCTGACAAACTCAGATTTGTTTATTCCTTCAAGTGAAGAATTTTACTCTGACCTTCCAGGAAGTTTCTCTCATTTAGTGCAGTTTAAGGATGACATAAGCAGCTGAAGTAGTCCCTTAATGAAAATCAATTCTACAGATTATGATAGATTCCCAAAATCCTTGAGAAAAACATTCTGTTGGGTTTTTCATTTTCACATACTTTGTCAAGTGTTAAGACTTTTATAGATATGTTTTTTTCTCATAATAATAATTTGATACTCTTTTTATACTTCTGCAATTATTTGATTTGGTAGACCTGTTTACACTCAAACAAGTAAGCATTGCCTAATGCTTTCTTGCTATACTTCTACACATCTACAACATCCACCCACTCAATAAGATAAAGATGTCATGATATGAATTTTAATAAGAACTGTATTATCATAGTGGCAACAATGGCATCAGAACACTTAGAATTTATACAACTAATATTTCAAAACCACTGCACCTATTCTTTCTAATAAAATTTATGTCATTAGAGCTGTTTGTTATGCTTAGTCTTATTTTCAAGAAGAGATTGTTTTGCCTAAAAATTACATCTGTAGACTTTTATTACAAACAAAACCCATTTTAATTATATTTAACTGGATATTGGTTTTCAGCTGTCTTCAAGAAAGAAGACTGCTTCTTCTACTTTTATTATCATATGTATAGGAAGATAACTACTCAGCCACTGATTTTCACTCAACATGCAAATTTTATTCTTTTGGCTGTATGGTTCCACCAGTTGCCTAACCACCCAAACCTCACCAGAATACAAGACTGCCAAATTTTTGTTGTACAAGTAACCCTGAATATATTTGTGCTTTAAAAATTTCCAATTTGCTGCATAATTAAGACAGTCCATTTTACATTTCAGAAACATCAAGACCATTTGGGTAATTTAACGAGTATAAGATTTAAATAGCCCTTCGTGATTTCTGTTTTATCAGCAAGACCAAAGAGTGATCCTCATTTAGCTCTTTGCCATTTCCAGATTTATGTTATTTCTTCATT